CAATGTTTGCTTGCTTGAAGGTGTGGAGGGTAATCAGTGCACCCGGCGGCTGTGACCTGCTTCAGCGCGACCTTGACCGCTTCTCCATGTGGTCTGCAGAGCTCGAACTACCGATATACCCGGTGAGGTCGCTGTTCATGTGCCTCGGTAAGAGCGAACACAGTCGAATTCATATTGTGACCGGTCAACCGTTACGTCCCACGGCTTTCGTGAGAGGCCGGTGGACTCACGTGTTGCGACCTTAAGTCTGTGGACAAGACGGACAGGCTTGCGCATTTTAAACTGTTCTCCGAGCTGAGTGGTTATTGTGCAGACATTTCGTTGCCTGACTAGGCAACATCATCAGTGCGGCTTCAGGGGCCTAGTCCGCAGTGCCTCGTAAGCGACTTCAATGTTCAAGTGCTTATTGATCAAGTTCTTCTTTGAATGCCAGGCTTTAGCAAAACGGACTTCGTATGATTTGGGCGCTCTTGGTCCAAAGATCTTGTCATTCGCCTCTTCATCTCAGTCAAACGACTAGCGCTAGAGCATGGCTCACTTGCATACTGTCCCATCACCAGGAGCGAGGTACAAAGGGTTGTGCGAGTACAGCACGTGGCTACTAGGCTCATCTCCACTTTACGCGGTGTTCGTACGAAGCCTATGACTTTACACCTCATCTTAGCTTCGAGTGCGGGTTGTTCTCATCTTGACACACCATGTTGAGGCTGCTGCTCTATATGAGTGCACCAAGCAGCACACAATGACACCGGTACAACTTGTAGTACCGAATTTGAAGCCGGTCGCTCACTAACTCTACTTCGAACGGAGGGGGTGAATATATGAAACAACTTGTCGCCGCACGTAGTTGAATGAAATCCAGTGTTGGAAGTTGAGAAGTTCCTTGGCCAATATTTTCCATGTGAAATATCGGGAATGATCGCCAACACAATAAGTTAGTATACCTGAGGGATTTCAGATGCAACTGCTACCATCCATTAATTAGGAGTTTTCGGTCGCCTTGTGCATTGTTCGCATTTGACATGCTCTCGACGACTGCGACCTTTTGCATGACCTCATCCACCTTTCCATGTGGTCTGCAGATATTGATCTGCTAGCCCAGCCCAGCCAAGTCCCCATTTATGAACTTGGGGAAGGTTTATTATGGTCTTACGTGCACTCTTACTGACCAACCGCTCCATCCTACTCCCTCTCACTCCATAGACAGTACGAACAAACTATAAGGAAACGGACTACCTGTGCTCAGTTACTCAACTGCAGTTTTTGCACTTGGTCTGAAGGGATTGACGCTCTTCTCTTCCATTATAATACCAATGCTCGAGTACGGCTTAGCTGTCTATTGCCCGACCACCAGTGGTGATGTTCCAGTTCTTGCACGTCACCACGGGTGGTCGGATAATAGACAGGTAAGCCGTACTCGAGCATTGGTATTATGATGGGAAAAAAGGCTGTTCAACTGCAATATCACTCTCAACTGCTTTTGCTCCTGCTAGTCACTCACCTTCACACACCACCTGTTTATTTGTTACCAATCAGTATTATCCGTTACCAAATGATTCTTGTTTCCATGATTCTACTCCGGATGGTTTCGTCGACACCCAGAGAGCTCGCCCAATCGCACTCCTTCGGCCTCGGTCTTCGTTCCATCTGGCATGCTTCAAGGTACGTACACTCATGCAGATCGGGCAGCAAACTGGTCTTACGCGCACCCTGCAATCCCTCGTCATCGATGTTTTTGCTGGCTTTTCGATGCGCGCTTACAAAATCCCAGTACTGTGATTGCGATTAGATCTCCCACCGACCACGGAACCATATTTCATCTCCTTCTATCTGGTGACGCAAAAGTGTCTGCGGCAGGCTTGGCTGGCGTTGGTGTAGCGCTAAGTAGCAAAACCGAGGCAGCACTGCTGGACTGGTTCCCGATTAATAGCCGACTGTGTGCAGTTCGGCCTCGGGGATCATACAAGCTAAATTGATGTCGTGAGGAGAGACGCAACTTTTTTTCATCTCAGCTTGCACTCCAACTGACTGCAGTTCCGACTCCGTCAAGGGCAATTTCTACCTTTAACTTCATCTGCTCTTGGTCAGAGCCTGCAAATCTGACATTCTTGTCTCAACGCACGGGTCGGTCGTCTGCTAGCATGCGAAAGTCACCTCGGTGGTCACCATGCACTCGATGAGAGCCGCTCAGATAATGGAGAGGGACTTCTCACACTGTGCGAATATAATCATCTTCTCTCGAACACCAACCTTCGGCACTCGACGAGGCGTTCTGATACTTGGCGACCCCCTTCTGCCTCTCAATCATGGTCTCAGATTGAACATATCGCAATCAGTTTCAGGTGGAGGGGTAGTGTAGCAGATTGCAGATCCATCTGGTCCACGTTTCTTGACTCAGACCCTTCCCTTGTCTGTGCGAACATCTGCATGAGTTTCGGAAGGTCCCCAAAAATGGAGCACTGTAAGATACTAATTAACTATCTACTGTTTCGGTTCAGCAGTGTTATCAAGCTTCCCTGGCTGGTGAACTCGGCTGTGACCCACCGCAAGATATTGATGAACACTGGACATGCATGCAGGGGATCATGGTCTCTTCCGGACAAGTCTGGGGTCTTACTCAGCACCCCATGAAGGCCTGGATCTCCACGTGCTCTTTGGATTTATTTGACCGCCACAAGAATATTCCATCGGAGTCTAATCATGATGAAGTGCGCTGTTCTGTCAGTTGGCAGCTCAAACAAAGCCTGGTGGTCCAAGCGTGTTTCGGAAATAGAGGCCGCTGCCCTCTCTCGCAATACTCGCAAGCTCTTCAGCTCATTCGATCCACTGGCCACAGAAACCCTGGTGTCAGTGAGACTATACGCGAAGCGGATGCTTCGCGGATTGCCAACTTACAGTGACGCTTGGACCGATGAGCTGAACATTTTGATCCACCCAGCGAAGCGGAAGTTTGTCTTGCGATTCGACATCTAAGACGATTCAAGCCTGCCGGCTCAGTTGGACTTCTTCCGGAGCTGTTCAAATATGGAGACTCAGTTTTCATTAGTCAGCTCACCTCATTGTTCTCCAAAATCTGGCATTAAGCAAAGGTGCCTTCTTCCTGGAGCGAGTCAGTTATTGTCCCGACTTTTAAGAAGGGTGCTCGCACTTCGTGTAACAGTCGCCGGGAGATTAGTCTCATTTCGGTTGTCTCCAAGCTATTGGCATCCATTCTGCTCCGTATACTATCCTATTCGCGAATCGCATACCGGGAAGAACAAGGTGGCTTCCGACCTGGCCGTGGTGTGTGGATCAGATATTCACACCGTCAAATCCTGAAACGCCGCCACTTTTATCAGAGGCCTGTCATCGTTGCATTCCTGAACATCCGTGCTGCATTCGATTCTGTTGATCGATCTGCACTGTGGCGTTGTTTGCTAAGGAAAGGTGTCCCAGTAAAGTACACTGCCATCCTACGCGCACTGTACTTCCACATCTCTGGTAGAGTGAGGGTGTATGCTAGGCTTTCGTCGTCCTTCACTGTCAGTAGCGGCGTACGACAAGGCTGCCCTATGTCCCCGTTCCTCATCAATTTTGCGATTGAAGACATCCTGTCGAGAGCTCTAGACGGTTGCCAAAATTTTGGTATACAGCTATTACCAAGCATGCGTGCAACCAACTTAGATTATGGTACTGAGGAGTAGTAGTGAGGATTTTGGTATAATTCAGCTAATTCATCATCGTCACTCCCAATCAGCAGGCTTAGGCCATTCTGGAGAAGTACCAGACGTCGACCTTTTAACCTTCTGGGTGCGCCTCCCAGCGTACCCCTGCCGGCTTCCGCCCCCATGACTTCAGGATGCAAGCAGCTAGTGCCATTTCGCCATGGGTGACAGCCGCAAACCTGCGTGATTGACAGACCCAGAAGATCGAAACGCCGGCCTCTGGTACTTTTCCAGACTAGCCTAAGCCTGCTGATTGGGAGTGACGATGATGAATTAGCTGAACTTAGATTAGCTCGATGATATCGCCTTACTTGGTGAGGACTTACAGAGCATGCAAACCATTCTAAACGGCTGGTGATTGAGGCATCTAGGTACGGAATGTGCTTTGCCCCTTCAAAGTGTAAAGTGCTGCTTCAGGATTGGCACTCAACTGTTACCGTTCTCAAGATTGAAGGTACACAGCTTGAGCAAGTGGATAACTTTGTCTACCTTGGCAGCTGTGTGTGTGGCTTGTTTGCTGTCTTCTCCTAATCGAATTGCCTGTTGAAAGTGTGTTTGATGCTGAGTTATCTGCATGGTAATGGCTGTTTCTGACGCGGGCAGTACAAGCCGCAGGGGTACTGTCGCGCTGGATCCCCTTAATCTTTACACGATACCGAGCTGTTTGTGACGGTATGTTGTTGACAAGGTGTAGGTGCCTTGACCCTGAATGTTTGTTTAGGGAATTATGGTTTTACGCCATGTCCACCTCCCTTTTTCTATTCTTTGTTCCGTAAGTCCTTGTGTTTGCATGGCAGCAAAGCATCAGTTTAAATGGCCGATGTACTGCTGTTGATGATGACTGAGGGCACTTCTATAAGTGCGCGCACCTACCAACACTCACTGGCACCGGTACGAATTTGTGGTACCGGATACCAAGAGACTAGCTCTTCCTATATGCTTCAGGCGGAGATAATTTGAAACCGTGTACCCGAGACAGTAGTCGTGCTGAATGCTGCGTCAGCATACAAAGTTTTTCAAGGCGACTGCTTTAGGTTTACAGATTTTGCGAGAACCTCGCGCCTGTGCACTAGTACGTCGCTCAGCCGAGTTGCCTTACTAGTGCACGGGTAATCTACTACTTTATTCTTCGTGCATGCCCGTTATCGTATTGACGGAGCAATATGACCAGTTTCTCGCTTTTCGAGGTGCGGCACGTTTTTCCGACTTTACTTTAACGCTGCTGCAGCCACTTGGCGTAATCGTTTCATTGTTTTCTGTCATTTCAACTGACTTTACTTTCCATTTCTTAATCAGGAGAAGAGTTACGAAATGAGTTGAGCACCCCTGTACCTATCAACCCCTTCATCCTGAAACCTGAAGTGGTGAGTTGTTCTCCCATTCTAGATTTATTAGACCCTGCTACCTCTTTACCTACCTTCTCTTTGCTGTCCATCTAGCGGAGCCATTTTTTCACTTTTCTTATGCTAGTGGATCCATGACACCTGGCAGTCTGCTTTTTTGCCGCACCGTATTCTAGGCTATTTGCTGCGTCCTGTTACTGAGTGCTTTTGCATAGTGTCCGTGCATACCGTTTTTTAGTTTTTGGAACCTTCGTTGTTATTTGATGCATAACTCGGTACGCTTTTGCCAACCTTTCATACACCACCAGCCTGTTCTCTCAGACAACCTTTGTCCTTTCACATGAACATACCTCTGTCGTTAAACAGGTCCAATTTATTAATTTATATGCTTATCAAGTCGCTTCTTGATTACTTATTTCCATCGGATGCGCTCTCTCATGTACTGCAATGGTTTGCCTTCCAATTTCAGTCTCCTGCTTCGCATACCGCCCCACAAGATGCTCGATAAAAGAACTGCAACTGTTTTCTTCATTGTCATTCATTGTGCCTAACTCGTGAGCAGTCCGGGTCTCAGTGGCAATATTCTGGCACACGGTATTTCAGTGCAACAGGTGCGATAAATCTCAGGATTCTTCTTGCTCTGGAATTGACGATATGCATATTATCTTTTCCCGTCGAGTTATCCGGTCTGCTCCTATTACTATGTCCACGAACATACCTTTACCGGATCTCCACGTGTGTTCTTCCTGCCTTTTCCGCCGCCTCACTATCTAAACAATTGCGCCCCATTTCGCAGTGGTGCAGCATTCTTTTGCAGTTTATCATAGTTAAATCAATCAACTGAGAAGCTACAAGTTTGTTGAATCGACAGTCGTGCAGATGCAGCATTGCAAGCAGACCAAATTTGTTCAACTGTTGTGTTCGCATTGCGCATAACATCATTTCCATTTCTTAGTGTGCAGATTCACCCCCTTCGTTTTGCAGCAGCACTTATGTTCCCTGTCTTTTTCATTATCACTCGGTTTACTTATGGGTTGTATATATACCGAACCTTTTTGTAAGTTTGACAGCGAGACGGCTGGTTTTGCGTCTCATTTCTTATTTTTTTAGTTGCACTCGCCATATACCAAAGCATTGTACTCTTCCCACACAACAGCACCGTGTTAGTGACTGCGCACTTTGCTGCTACATATTCAGACTATTTTTGTGTCGCGTTCATTTTTTTCTTCCAAGTTTCCAATTTAAACATGCATACAACAGTTACCAGCTGACCAACCCTGTCCCATCGTCGTCCTCCATAGATTGACAAGCCACTACATCCTTTTTGTTCGATTGATCTATCGATGTGGTCCCGCATTCTTTATCACCTTTAAGGCCTAGGTAATTAGACTACTGTCTTTTCGCATGGGTAAATTGTTATCACTACCAACTTTTCACCGTGGTTAGCAACAAATCTATTTCATATCTCTTAATAATAGGCTCTCAAAATCATTGGAATCTTTTCATCAGGTGCACATCGGTAATGAAGGCTAACTGCCTCGGCTCATTCATTTCACATTTCTATGCACCCAACCCTACTCCTTTTGTTTGACTACGCAGGCGCGGCCTCGTTCTTATCAATCATTTGCCCAACGGTTCGCTGATAGCACCGTCCTACTCGATAAGTCCTTGTCACTAGGAGTGTTTCATCGATGCCGGAATATAAAGCACATTGCAGTTTTGTCCGTTATGTTTCTCAACTAAGTAGAGCACTTTCTCCTTTGAATAACTTGGGCAATCCGGAGCTTACTAATAATTCGGAGTCGTATGTCCCATGACCGCGAGTCATGAAACGAACGCACTGCAAACAAGGCCAGTACAGGACGGTGGAAATGGTTTACACATTCACTGTGACCTACGGCACGATAACATACAGCTGCGTTATAACTATGCAACAAAAAGCGGCGCTGTTCGCACACGCGAGCACTCCCAAAGAGCGCGCATTGCAATTAGGCGCTTACAGAAGTACCTACGGAACTAGCATTATGAATTTGCAGGTATAGGTAGAGCAGCATTATCATCTGGATGTGAGCTTTTACATTTACTCGTTGTGGATATTTAGATGAGCTGGTACCCGTTATCTGCTCACTGAGCCTCAACACTTTGGAGCCGGTACAATTAATCCCTACCTTCTGTCGTTGGTGTCTAATGTTTATTGGTCTCTTTCCTTATTTCTTTTCCACATGTGCTTGGGCATCCGCAGAAATCCTCATTGGGTCCTTCGTAATCAAATGGAAGCCTTTTTTGAACAGTTTGAGGGGTCTAAGAGAATTCGATAACTGCAGTTTTGATGAATTCGTTCCTCCACTCAAATTATTCAATGGGGCTCCGAATAACTCACTTAGACCGTTCATCAAGCACTTCAGGAATGCACCGTCCTTTCACCGTGTAATCTGACCGTTGTTTCACAGACGGGTGATATCCGATATTTTTGGTCTTTCTGCGAATACCGAGTGGGAAAGTGCTCCAATTAGGTCGATCCTTTGTGACGATAATAGCCTTCGATGAAGACCCTCGTATATACCACAGATACTGCGAATGGTGTTCAAATGTAAGTGCCGTAGCTTAATTGCTTCAAATTCCGAGTGGTTATAAAGCTGTATTGAGGTCCTTTATCTGCGCAGCTGGCTCCCGGCACATCAGTTAATTAAACTCACCAGTGGACACTATGGTGTTCGGCTATCTCAAATCAACTAGCACACAAAAGAATTGCTTAGCGCTTATGGGTAAGACGATCAACGCAACTTCACATACAATATTATGTGAAGCAGTTTTATCCTGTCCAATCCTACTAGGTATGAAGGGTGATAGAGAATACGGGGCCTGATAGTATTTAGTACAGGAAGCGTATACATCCAAGCAGATAAAGGTGAGTTATTCATAGGCGTAAAGCAAGGCTGGCTGGTTGGTCAGTTAAATACCTATTGGCACCCATTGGGGCATGATGGTGACCGTACCGCATATGATATCTCTCTTTTGCTGATTACGCTTTCGCGTTACTTTTCCTTTATAAATACGCATTCCGTAACAAGTCGGAGGGATGTTTCAAACATCAATTGGATTCTTACCTGTTGAGTAAACTCGGATCTGGTTGCTTCTTGTGTCAATGCAGCGGTTCCATTGGAACCGACTTGCGATGTCCACCTTGATTTCTGTGACGAACGGGAGGCGATGGAGTTGACAAAGGATTTTTCCTTCTGCTCTTTTAGTGACCATGACATTTTACTCTATCAAACATCACATTCAGACTTGTACACATTTTGTTTTACTTTGCACCCATCCAAAGCCTATATATACTGGACTGCAATTTTGAACCAGGTCCGCCGTCTTGCCCACGCACTGCCGACTGTTGTACTCCGGCGTGGTGTAACCGCTTCACCACTCTCTCCCACAGTCCTCAAGCTATATTTACATAGCTATTGTACATAGCTATTTTCTCAAGACATTCTTTATATCTTGCCGTCTTCTGTCTTACTGGGCTATGGTTTTCTTGTGTAGCGTTCGCCAAGGCGCTACATAATTGTTGACCCCGACGTGACCCGAACACGCAACCTTCTGACATTCCAATGTTACAATGTAAATACGTATGCGCATATCACATGGATATTTGCCTATTCGTGCCACATCCGTTTACCCAGTTATTTACATATTATTCGCACAGCCATTTCCATTCTTGTCCATCTGTTTCTCGAAGTACGCTAACCATTTCGCCCAGTCGTTTCCCAAACAGAAATGACATAGGAGCATGTGAGGTAAGAAAAATACGCATTTCCCCTTCAATGTAAGTGTATCACCCTTCATATACTCCCTTAATGTGGCTATTCTTCATTTTCTGGCTAACCGAGTGCACTATTTACTTATCCAATAATATCGCTCAAACTAAACCCATTTTGTAATATATTCCGAATAGCAGGTTCGAAACACGGACGAGAAGTCCCTGCTACAAACGAACGGCACGTGAGAATCAGCGACCGAGTAACTAACACAGTAGCACGTAGGAAACGGTAATCATGCAAGACGACGGTGCTCTACTGCGTCGACCACGAGAACAAGCAAGCTGGACCGAGACAGATGTATTCAACAGCGCGGCATGCGAATATCGTGGTACACGGCGAGCAAGTATATAACCAACGAGTTTACAAGGAACAGGTACTGGGGCTTGGCTTTTGATTCCCTTCATTCATTGTGCATTCGGTCCGCCAAGCCCTGTAAAATAAGCAAAGGAGACATAAGTAATGGCGGTCAATTTAAACAATACATTGCGGTTTCGACTGTACTAAATTATCTCCCCTTCTAAGTGAGGCACTGTCCCCAGTGCCAGCGCATCTGGCACCACAGCGAGGCCCCCTCAGCTGGCACTTCTACGATGAGTTCGACTATCGGGAGGCAACCGGGTGGCACGATGCTATCTACAGGCGTAAAACTTGAAGACGGTGTCATCGGTTTCAGTTGGTTGTAATGAACGGTCAGCACGTCGGCGTTTGGATCCGTAACGTTTCGAAGCACATACACGGTAGGCGAGCGTACGAACCCAATCTCATATGGCCCCTGCCATTCCCGATGGAATTTTCCTGGTGCGCCAGCTGGAGGTCTTGGTCGGTGTAGCCATACACGATCAACTTTTCGGTATCCAGGGCTTCGACTTTGGCTATCGTAATACTCTTTCTGACTGTGTTGTGCTCTGTTCATATGCTCCTGAACGCCTTGAAAGGCTACGCGGAGTCGCTCACGGGTTATGCGGACGTATTCCGACAATGATTAAGCTTCAACCGGACAGACAGGTGATAATAATTCCAGAAGTAAGCGAATCTCACGGCTGAGAATATGGTAATCTGGACAGTAGCCGGTTTTAGAGTGCAGCGAGGCTCGATAGGCAAGCATACATTGTGACAATGCTTCGTCCCCCTGATTGGACTGATGACGTTCGACGAAGCTCTGAAGAATAGCCTTGATAGTCCTGTTGGTCTGCTCAACCAGCCCATTTCCTTGTGGATGATACGGTGTAGTTCGTGTCTTTTTAATGGCTAGCAAGCGGCACATTTCGTGCATTAGATGACTCCCGAAAGCCGCACCCTGATCGGAGTTAAAGGATATGGGTGCGTCGTAACGAGCCACCCACTGGTTGACGATAGTGGAAGCAACATTGGATGCATTTTGGCATCTGATAGGCATTGCCTCGCACCATTTTGTTAAGTAATCTATCATAAATAGTATGAAGCAGTTCCTGCTCTTTGTTATCGGCAAAGGACCAATGATATCTACTCCAATTCGTTGCCCTGGTGCGGAAGTAATTATTGGTTCCAAAGGAGGACGAGGGATAGGCACCAATGGTTTCAAAGTAGCACCGAGCTCACATGACGCACCCAATTTAACGTCATCGGCGTGGATGCCCAGCCATCAATACCGTTGTTGAACTGCAGCCTCCGTTTTTAACTTACCGGAATGTCCTAATTGTTGAAGAACTTTTTGTAGTATTCCAAGAGATCGAGTCATCGGAGCAATCAGTTTCGGACCGGATTTATCAACGCGAAACGGAACACCGTCGATGATTCTCAAGTCATTCCAGTGCCCGAGTAGGGAGCGCTCTTCGGTGGTACGTTCACGAAGTTCAATTCCAGTGGGTTTCGAGGAGCCATTCAGCTGTCGGTTGTAGGTGTTATCTATGTGCGGGTCACATGCTTGCTCTTCGACCCACGCAATACCTGTCTCTGGGGATACGAAAGCCTAATTGACCTGTTTGGATCTCACTAGCCTTGACAGCGCGTCTGCATTAGAGTGTCGTGTCCCGGGACGATATCCACAGGTAAAATCGTATTCTTGTAGCTGTTCCTGGCATCTTGCTATCTGATTCTCCGGTTCACGAAAGGTTTTTAACCACTGAAGTGACTGGTGATCAGTGCGAACCTGAAATGACTTTCCAAGTAGGTACGGCCTAAAATGTCGCAAAAAGCTAACCAGCGCCAGTAGTTCCCGTCGAGTGGTGCTGTACTTTCTCTCGCGTTTATCTAAGCGGCGACTAGCGTAGGAGATCACAACTTCGCCCGCCGGAGTTACCTGGGATAAAACTGCGCCGATCGTTTCATCGCTCGCATCTGTATTCAACACAAAAGCTCCCGACTCTGGTGAGGTGTCAGGGAGAGCCAAGATTGGGGGTGTCGTAAGAAGAACTTTCAACTCTGCAAAAGCATTTCGTCATTCGTTAGTCCAGCAGAATGTTTGTACCTTCTCAGTTAAACAATGTAAGGACGCTGAGGTGGCCGCAAAATTAAAAATGAACCGTTGATAGTACGAAGCCAATCCTAAGAAACTTTGGAGTTCTGCTGTCGTTTTAGGGTGTGACCAGGAAGTAATTTTTTCACATTTGGCGGGGTCGGTCCTCACACCTTAATGGGAGATAATGTGCTCCAAATACTTAACTTCACGCAGGAGAAAATGACATTTTGGACCCCGTAGTTTCAAACCCGCCACGCGCAGCCGATCCAGTACGAGGCGCAGCCGCCGGTTATGCTCCTCAATCGATCGCCCATAAACCATTATGTCGTCCAAATAAATTAAACAGCTACCTGGTGTCAGACCCTCCAGGGCTTTCTGCATTAGTCTTTGAAACGTATCCGGAGCCTTAACCAGAACAAAAGACAGCGTTTCAAATTCATACAGACCGTTGGGCACAGTGAACGCCGTTTCCTCCCGGTCCTTGGGTC